TGCAGATACAAAAATAAGCCACTAAGATGTTGCGCAGTGGATGGTGATCACGGCTGCTATTTATGCGAAGTTGATAATGTGGGTGGTTTGCAAGGCACGCCCAGTGAAGCGATTTACGAGCCCTGATTGGAGGGTAGCAGACCGTCCGTTAAATCACAGCACTGAGCAGGTTCGATAAGGTTGATCAACGGTAATTTGTCGATCGACCACAAGGTGCCACACAAAGGGGAAATCACAGACGAACGCGCAAGTAGGGGTGAAGGGATAATATATCCGGCAGGGATCTAAACGCACGCATTGGGAAGGAGACATGGTTGATGGGGGCAGGTAGTGGATGGGGGACGGAAGATATCCGCCCCAAACCGGATTGCCTGGGGCCACAGAATATACAGAGTAGTAATCTGGTCGAGCTCAAACTCCGGGGCAACATGGTTGACGTAGGATCGATTGGCCCGGAAGGAAAACGCGCCTGTCAGAGGCGACCCTGAGCCGATGGCAACCCGCCAGAACAATCCGGATTTATTTTCAGTGTGGTTCGCGTGGAGCCCGCACTTGCAGCATGACGTTTCGAGTCGACCCAATTGCTTGCACTTCATATCCCGACTGCTAACTTAAATCCCGGGCCTTTCCAAAGGACTCAAGCAGGTACTGGGTCTGCTCCCCCCATCCCTCACGGTGGTTCTTGCAAATAGTTGGGATATTGATATCTTGGTGACATCTACGACCTCGACACTTACTAAATCCGTGCAGCCGGTGCTGCTGGGTCCTCCACCCGCCACGTTACACAGAACAATGCATTCTGAAGCCACCCAGCAATGTTTGACGACACGATTCATGTTTCTTTACCAACGTCGGAATTTCCCATTGCGTGCATTGGCTTCCTGTAGGCAAGAAGTATTCGGATTATCTAAATTTTGTTGAAATGCTGGATCATTAGTTATCACTACTCTTCTGCTGCATGGGTGGATACTTTATCCCCTCGATATAGCCGGCTCCGTCATAGGCCCGCTGTGCATTACACGGTTGATCACTAAAGGCAATAATATCCCTGATGCTTCAATCTACCTCTAGATCGTCCCAATTCTACTTACTTTCTCTCAAAACTCGATAGTCAGATGTGCTTCGCTCGGGCCGCGCCTGGCTTCCCTGGTACCCAGTGGTTTGGGTATGTGACTAACCATCCTTGAGGTAGAATTAAGCCCAGGATCCTCATATTTCTCCACGGTTGATAGAAAGAACCGTGCGCTATCCCCATGATGATTTTGCCTCGATCATATGTATTCTGCTGTTGTTACTCCAAGCCCACAAGGTCCTTTTCGCCCTCTCCCTCGCCACCCCCAAAGGTATCTGCATAGCGACCAACCATCCAGTCGTTCACAGTGATTGGGCCGTGTTTGGGCGTTTCGCCCGGCTCGAGGCAGCTTTCCAGGCACTCGACCAGGAAATCTGCGTTGCCATCGAAGAAAAAAGGAACGCTGTAGCGCGCAGTTCCCGATGCATTGATGACTCGGTGTAGGTTGGAGACATACCGATCATTTGTCCAGCGCATCATCATATTGCCGGTGTTGACTACCACTGCGCCGGGCACAGGTACCACGTCCACCCACTCCTTCGACGTCCGGCTCCAAACCTGCAGACCCCCAACAGAGTCCTGCAGGAGGATGGTTATAGCACCAAAGTCGCTGTGAGCTCCGATGCCTGTAAGTAAAGTTAGCTCATTCGTGGTACCCCCAATATTGGTTGGAGCCGAATGCGGGAGGGTTGGGCAATGCACACCTCTTTCCAGCTCCGACGCATCAGGAGCCTGGGGGGGATAGTGAAGCAAGCGAAGTGTAGCAATGGGTTTGGTACAGAACTTGCGTAGAGCATCTGAACCAAGGCCCACCAGTCCGGCAATAACAGTCATAAGGTCGATAGTGAGACTGAGAACGGCTCCATAGTACCGATCAACCGTGTCTCGGAAGAGCTGCGGGTCTGTCACTTCAACAGGATACTTGTTGGGTCCCAGGCCGAATTTTCCGGCTTGGACATCCGGATCATCTAGTGGGAGATGTCGACCAAGAAAGAAGCTCTCCTTTAGGTCACCTGCGGATCGTTTCTCAAAGTTCTGGGCTCGCAAGCGTTCGTATCCGCGGTTGAAGCTGTCATTGTCTGGGAGCTTAAACAGTGGGCACCGGTGTGGATGTTGCTTGTGAACTTACCCCTTTCGTATTTCTTCTTAGTCTCTATAGGTAGACGGAAGAAATCACTGGCCTGCTCTAGAATGGCTGTTTGGAGTTCGGGTGGAATGGTGTGGTTGCGTAGTTGGAAGAATCCAAGGTCTTTGCAAGCGTGGTGAATTTCTTCCTTCAGGCGCTGTCGGTCTTCCCTGCGGCCTCCATAGAAGGCTGCGGAGATGGTCAGTGCATTTTCCAGACATATCTGTCCTGTCTACCTACGAGCAAAATCAATGATAGGGATAACAGGACTCATGATTTCGATCGAGTGGAGCAACGAAGCTCATATGGTTAGAGTTCCATTTGGCGTACCAACGGAGTTGCCGACGAGAAAAGCATGGCAACTGGGAAGATGAGTTGGTTGCAGATATCTTTCATCGATGCGGGGTAGGCGCTGATAATCCTCGACGTTGTGAAAAGCTTAGGCAGCCCTGCAGGAGGGCGCTTCCTTCTAGAATGATTCTAGTCGTGAATCAGGCGCCACATGTAGAACTTATCGGCACGACTCTTCTGGTATACACCTAGAACATTTACAGCGATCAGAAGCCGCTGTACTAGTCATCTTTCCAAAATATCAGACTGCAACCTCAATCTCCTGGGTCAAACCCTTCCAGGTACCATCCATGGGACGGCGGCGGATCAACGTAACCTTGATCAGCCCTATCCGGCCAGTCGAGCCACATTAACGCCTGGTGCCATTCAGGACTGCCGGATTTGGTATACATGCGAGGAATCTGGTGTGAAGTGCAATGAGCATTTGTTTTTATTGTCACGGCCTCTGGGAGCAGTGGTTGAATGCCCCTTCCAGGATGAAGGATTTACTAATCATTTCCATAACTACCAATCCCATCCAGTCCTGTCTTCATATATCACCAAGCTCAATTTATCACATCAAGTTTCATGACTCAGTCCGCTGCAACCTGAACTTAATAGGCTTTCAAACGTCCATGGTCCGATCGTCCCAGATGCCTTGCCCCGGGGAGTGTTGAATGGTTGGAGTTTCAGCCCAACGTTTCACAAGGTCGCTTTACATTAGGAAAGGATCGCATTCCCTTAGTTCATTGACATCAAGACATTTATATGTACATTCTATATACAGGGAGCAGCAACCATCATGGAATCTCCTCATACACTCTATCCCCAATCTTCGGGGGTTGGAGGAAATCATTAGGAACAGTCTCCGGAAGCTGGTTTCGCTCCGCCCATTCGCGGATCTGCTCAAAGTTGCGACACTTGTGCTCAGTGTTGAAGTCGACGAAGGGCTCAGGGTGGTCGGGGTGGACCCAAACTTGACCCAGGACTCCCACGTCCACGGTGCACATCAGCTGCTGGCGGATGATATCGAGACAGTGAGCTATCAAGATTAGTACTGATTCGAAAGAAAGGAGTAGCAGTGAAAACGTACTGACGTGGCGACGGACAACGTAGTCATTGTTGGTGAAGGCGCCCTTGCCAAGGTCATGGTAGTAGTCGTAGTTGTAGTAAAGGGATTGGCGTAGGAGATTCTGTAACCCGTTAGTCACACAACCTATATTGTCCCTTATCCTGTCTAACATACCAAGCAGTGCAGATGGTGGAATCCCTCCACATTGGCAGGATATCCACCTCCGTACTTCTCGTTGATCTTAACCTGGTCGGGAGCGAGTCCTGATTTCTCGGCTTCTTCGGCAGGCACGCGAATGGATCGGTCTGGACTACGATCAGCCAACTCCACTCACTCACTTCATAATGTGAAAGGAAACCAACAGTTGGCACCGAGAGACTCCCATGCTGCATCCACTTCCGGGCTGGCATCTTGTCGGAAGATGTTTTCTTTGAGAAGCGACCCGTTAAACTGTTGCTTGTGATAGTTGAGCCCAACATTGGATACCACGGGTGCTACGGTCGCGTTAGCTCAACGTTCTGATTTCCTCGATGTTTGACGCTCAGTGACAGTCTTGAAACTAAAACGTACAGTGCTGGGTGATACGCCGCGTGCATGCCTTGTCTGAATCGCCTTGGTTGTGGCCAATGAAGATGCCGACCAAACACGACACTATGGCAATGACAACGACGAATATTATGTTTAGCCATCTTCCAGGCCCCGATCGCACACTCTTCTTCCCCGACCAGTGAACATCTTCTTCATCGACAAGAAGTCTCTCGCGATCGGTCGAGTCGGACCGGTCCGAGGTGTTCATCTTGTCGTCAAAAGAGTTGGTGTTGCGCGCAGAACTCATGGTGTCAAGGAACGACTCTTTCAAACGAAAAAGAATGAGCAACAACTTCACGACTCTTCTTCCCCGGCAAAAAGAGCGCAGCACGAGTGTTTATTCTCGGTTGCCCATGGAGGAGGACCAATGGGCCCATCTATGCCCTCCGCCAGGTCCGATGCTAATAATATCCTCCCGAAGCCAAACCCGCCGTTGGGAGGACCAAGTGACGGGTGTAACACTCATCCGAGTGGTTGGTGAGACAACCAGGCTCGTGCAGGTGCGGAGAGGCTCATCCTGGCGGTGATGTTATTTGTTCCAAGTAAGACACCCTCCGCTTGGCCGCAGACGTTGTCTCATTCGGCCGCCCAATGAGGGTTTCCGGAGTGGATGGATCGCTGGAGATCCTCAATACGAGCTCACTGCCCGCCTTACAGCTCGACATCTTACTTTCGTCCAACTGAGACATGACGCAAAGATGCCTTACTCCCGAGATTAAACCCGGATTCACCGTCATTAAACCATCTGCACGCTATTATTAACACCCTATATTGGCCGCCTGGTGGCGGATCACGATGGGTCGTCGCCGTGATCTAGGTCAACTTCCAAGCCCCTTCTTATCCCGGAGAGGGAAGTGGATGCACCAGCTCGCAATGAGGGGTGCCTACTTGTGAGGCATATGAGTGTAACACTGGCATCCGCAGCGCCACTTGGTCATCTCGGGGTGTCGCCGTGATTGGACTGAGGCCGGTCCTCGGCTACTCTCGAGATAGATCTTCGACAGATGGCACAATCCGAGACTTGGCCAATCATGCCGGTACGCCATGGCAGGACGCTTACTCCACGATGAGAGATATTGGCATTCTGCTAAAAATGGATGCCGGGGTGTTAAGCAGGGAGACGAAGAAGTTATAAATATGGCCGCATGTATTCCCCAGTCTCATGCAAATCCCAAGATCGTCCAGAACATCAAACTCCCCTCTCTCAAACCTTAATCATACTTCTTCATCTCGTTGTACATGATGCATTCCGTTTCTAAGGGTCTTCTCCTGGTGCTGAGCAGCCACCTGCTCGCTGCTACTGCCCGTCCTGTGGCCACGAAGACTTCCACTGCCACGGCCACTGAAACTCCTGCAAGCTACGGAGATTACGGCAACTATGGCAACTACGGAAACTACCAAGCCTACAAGAGGGACGGCGAGCCTGAGGCGGATGAGACGACCAGCAGCGTGTCGTCGACTGCCTCTGCCACCTCCACCACTGCTGCGGGATATGGCAACTATGGCAACTATGGAAACTACGGCACCTATGGTAGCTACCAAAACTACAAGCGTGGCGAAGAGCCCGACCCTAGCTTGAGCACCAGCACCACTATCCCTACTACCACTGCCCCTGCTAGCTACGGCGACTACGGCAACTATGGAAACTACGGAAACTATGGCAGCTATGAAGCCTATAAGCGTGGCGAGGAGCCTGACCCCAGCTCTAGTACCTCTACTGCGGTTCCTACTACTACCGCCCCTGCTAGCTACGGAGACTATGGAAACTATGGCAACTACGGTAACTATGGCAGTTACGAGGCCTACAAGCGTGGTGAGGAGCCCGATCCTAGCTCAACCACCACCACCGCGGTCCCTACGACCACTGCACCGGCCAGCTACGGCGACTATGGCGACTACGGCAACTATGGCAACTACGGTAGCTACGAGGCGTACAAGCGTGACGAGGAGCCCGAGGTGAGCAGCACTGCTTCTGCGACGAGCTCGACCGAGACTGCGACCACGACTGCGGCGAACTACGGCAACTATGGAAACTACGGCAACTATGGCACGTATGCCAGCTATGGATCGTACAAGAGGGATGCTGAGCCCCAGCCCGACCAGGACAGTGAGTCCTCGACCACCTCTGCTGCCAGCACGACCACTGCTGCTGCGGGATATGGGAACTACGGGAACTACGGCAACTACGGCAAATACGCTTCTTACGGCAGTTATTAAGAAGAGAGTTGAGTGCGTGATGACACGGAGGACAAGTGTTACCTGAGCAAAAGTTGGGGGTGACGCTGCTGGGATTGGGAGATCAATCATGATAATGATGTCTAAGAATGTGTTATTCTGTTGTATTTATTGGCAATGGATTAGTTAATTAGATAAATATAATGTAGCGTTGCTTGTTTTTGAATAACTTATATAATCATAACTGTATCTTTGTACTTTATGCCTTCAGACATATGCAGTTAATGCAGACACATTATTGGTTGGGGCAAGTACCGCGGACATGGCAAATCAAATTGGCCCTCATTGGATCTTTAACTTGTTGACGATTTAAGACCCGCTTCCCCATATTAACAACCTTTTTTTTCTTCTGGCGAGCATCGCAGATCCTCCGATTCAGATCCGGTGTGGGTTTGAGATGTTGCCCTCAACCATCATGGCACTCTGACTCGGGAGACAAGTTTTCTTTCGGCTTCTGACACTGTAAATCGCTATTCAGTGGATCAATCCACACGAGCAAAAACTCTGCATGGGAGGGAACAGAGGAGCCACCATGAAGCTTGAACTCCAGATCGCTGCAGCTGAATCACCGACCGGTTCCCAATCGGGCAAGTGATGTTCATGGAACCCCCCTTGCCTCTCTGTGCGATCGACAAGTAACCTTTGCCGACAGGCTCGCCTTTCCTCCGAGATTGAATTGTTCATGCGCAATAATCAGGATGTTACATAGCTGATTTATGAGCTAGACTACTACTCTGTACCAGTCATAAGGGTCCAGGTATCCCGACATCGGTGCCAAGCCTCATCCTTCAGCCCTTAGCCGAGGGAAGGGAGAGACAGAAGACAAGACAGAAACGAGTGAGAGAGAGACAGCCGACCAAATGAAGAATCCAGCATGACTAGACCGTCACAACCCAAACCAGCGTAGACTGCGATAGCGCAGTGGCCAGCTCCAAATCGGACATGGATGGTTGGTTCATCCAACCTAGCTGGTCTCCACTGTCTCCTCGGATTGGCGCATTTTTTGGCAATCATAGGAGTCATCTTCGTTCCTGGTTCAGCTTGGCCGGTCTAGCTTTCCCCGCCCTTCAGCTCGCTTTTAAAAGTCCGCTGCAGCCACGCGCGCTGTCGTCGCCGTCATGTTTGGATTTTCTCAGACTCTGCTTTTCTTTCCTCCTCTTCCAGTTGTGTGTGTGTGTTCTGCGATCGTTCTTGCGATCGCGCGATAGAAAATGACCGTTGACGGTATGTCCAACCGCGACCGGAATTATTCTCTCCGCTGTGACTTGATCGGCGCTTGACTCTCCCAAATTTGACTGACTCGGATTACAGAGAAACAGCCAGTGGCTGACAATGGCGAGTCCTCGCCAGCACCGTCGCAATACGCCTCTGTCAACGAGCGCAAGTTGATGGCCAAGATTGACTGGCATGTGGTGCCGTGTCTTTGCGTCATGTATCTGCTTGCATTTTTGGATCGGTATGCATGATTACCAGTGAACTGGGACCTCGACTCCAAAAGGCGTGAAGCTCATCAATTGCGCAGCGTCAATGTCAGTAACGCGGCCATTTTGGGTCTCAAATCCGACTTGAATATCGAGACCGGAACCAAATATAACACTGCCCTTACCATCTTCTTCGTCCCCTACATCATCTTCGAAATTCCGTCCAACGTGTTGATGAAGAAGTTGAAGCCGCACACATGGTGTACGTATTGCGCCGCAATGTTTAGGGCCACACTAACGTGCACCTAGTGTCGCTGTGTATGTTCGGCTTCGGCCTGGTCATGGTCTGCCAGGGTCTGGTGCAGAATTGGGGAGGATTGATGACAACGCGCTGGTTCCTGGGCATGTTCGAGACCGGCCTGTTTCCTGGGTGTATGTCGAGTTCTCCACGATTTTATGGTCGCATACTGACTTGATAGGCTTCTACCTGCTGGGAATGTGGTATAAGCGCAGCGAAGCCCAGAAGCGCTTCAGTTTCTTCTTCAGCTCGACGACTCTCGCCGGTGCCTTTGGTGGCTTGCTCGCCTACGGCTTGGGACAGATGGATGGCCTCCGGGGATACAGCGGATGGCGATGGGTTTTTATCATCGAGGGTGTTCTGACCTGTGTGGTGGCCATTGGCTGTTTCTTCGTGGTTCCCGACTTCCCCGAAGACGCCAAATGGCTGACGGAGGAGGAGCGGGCATTCCTGCGCGACAAGCTGGCGAAGGATGTTGGAAAGCCGGCTGCTGATGCTAGCATGACCTGGCGTGATATTGCTGCCGTCTTCAAGGACTGTAGGTATCCGTGGCTGCGATGGCGATAACAGTGCTAACGATTCTGTGTAGACAAGATCTTCATCGGTGGCTTGATGTACTTTGGACAGGTGGTTACAGCTTATGGTTACGCCTACTTTGCGCCCACCATTATCCAGACCTACGGCTACAGTTGTATGTTCTTGCCCTCAGAATACCTGATACAGTGCAGTCGCTAATTTCCTTCCAGCGGTCAAAACCCAGCTCTACTCCATCCCGCCTTGGGCCGCCTCGTTCGGTTTCTCCATGCTCATCGCATACCTCTCTGATAAATTCCGCCATCGCTTCCTGTTCACTATCATCCCGATGCTGGTAGCCATGGCCGGATTCGGTATCCTGCTCAACATCCACGACACCGCACAATACCATGTTCAATACGGCGCGCTGTTCCTCGTGACAAGCGGCTGCTACAGCGCGATGCCAGTACTAGTCTGCTGGTTCGCGATGAATCTCGGTGGCCATCGTCGACGCAGTATAGGAACGGCATGGCAGATTGGTTTTGGCAACAGTAAGCACGGCCATTATGCTCTATCCCCAATCAACCAGTAACTAACCCTCTAAACACAGTCGGTGGAATCATCTCCACCTACTCCTTCCTCTCCAAAGACGCCCCCTTCTACCGTCCCGGATACAGCATCGGCGTATCCTTCCTGGCCTTTTCCGCCGCCATGTCGATCCTCTACTTTCTCGCGGTGTGGCACGACAACAAGAAACGCGACCGCGCGATCGCCGAGGGTCGCATCGATCCGTCGACCATCACAGAGGAAGAGGAAGAATTGCTGGGCGATATGTCGCCGACGTACCGTTACGCTTATTGATATGCTTGCTTATTTACTTGCTTACTTGCTTACGAGGGAATGAGTGACTGAGACAATAATTACTACTATTTAATTTTGGGTTAGCCTAGTTACGAGGATTGGTTAGGTCTCCGATGTCGGAGACGGATAATATACGCGTCGGCGGATCCCGACGACTTTGCAATGGAACTAATCAGGGTAGTGTGCTTGGCATTTCTGGCGGAGTCATCTCCATAATTCGATTTGAAGATGGATTCCCCGGCAAGATTAGATAGTCATTCTGATGTAATAGCAAGGAGGGAGAGCTTCACCAATTGCAGTTGTTGATGCCTTCGTAGGTTATGTTGCCCTTCGTGTTACTAATCAGTATCTCTCTTGGATCGTAGGCATCGTAGAAATGGTGTTTAGCATAGCTAGATCTTAGGCTAATACCCCACGCCGAGAATTCACTGGATCCAGAGTAGTACGGGTCATCTATTTTATTATGCCTTCATCTAAACTTGTGTGCACTACGTAGAACATATAATTCCAATACCACGAGGACCTCCCACACCAATCAGCTTCACTTGACCTATCATTTTCTAATACTAGTATAATAAGCTCATGTCAAACATGATGTAGCTAGTGTTCTAAGACTTAAGACCTTGTCGTCACTTGTATTAAGCTTTCTGTTCACCGGGGCTGAAGACATACAGGGCTATAAAATATATATATTGAGGTTGTTGGAGTCAGGTGATGGTGTATTCCAACGGCTTTTCCAAAGGGTACTATCATGACTTGTGTGATAACGAAATCAGAGCAGTAACCGAAAGGAATATAGACTTATGATAATGGGTCCTGCATTTATATTCCAGTCTGAATGAAGATATGCCATGATTGTCAGTTGTTGCGTATTCTGAAGTGCTGTATGCCTTGACTGAGTTGTAATTATATTGAAATGAGTCTACAAGTGGCATATATTCTCTTTATCGACCTCTTGGATAGTACAGTACATACATACAAGGGTATACTATAATCACTACGAAGTATCATATCGCAACTATATCTTATGCAAAAGAAAAATCAAAGCTTTCCATCCAAATGATAACTACCACTGTCAGAAAGGGCAGTGATATTCCCCTTCATTTCCTTCCACATGCGCGGATAATCCACTGTCACCTGTTCATATAGTTAGCGTCCTACTTCGCCTGCGATATCTGCCGAAGTGAGATGACGCGATATTGCAGGAACAGGAATGGTGCAGAGGCCTGTCCGTGGTTCGAGGTCGTCATGAGATCGGTACGAGCGATCTTGATAAGATAACAGCAGTATGCAATTGGGTTTAGTGAGGCAGTTTGGGTTCCATCTGTCCAGAAAACACTGCACTTGTGACTGGTTATATCTAACAGACCGTCAATATCAATATCTTTTCCCTTTGAAGTAGATTCTAGGTATTCGCTTCCCACATAACCTTCGGAAAGATTTGTTGACCTCGCTTGTGTACCTATTGATGTAGTCATTCCCAGCCGCGCTCGCGTCATCGCGAAGATCAATGGCACAATAAATCCCCCACCACGTACCCGACCCGGGGGTAAGAGCCGAATCAACAACTCTCTCTTGCCGAAGAACTAATATCTAGTTGCAGCTTAAGCGATATTGACGATGAGTGCAAAGTGTCCACCGATGGTGTTATCATCGTGCCGGTTAGGAATTGTTCAACCTTGTCCTCGACACCACCACAGATGGTGTGATAGAATTCGGCGCATAAAAGGGGAGGTCCAGGGATGAAAATGGAGCAGTATGCTAGAAGCAAGGCGAGAGCATTGCAAGCATATCAGTAGCAGCATGATCGCTCTAACCAAATATAGCCTGCTCCTGGCAGCTCTGTCCCCCCTTACCGTAGCAGACGGGCAATATCGCTCGCGACCAGACCTCTCCCCTCCCAAGCTGAACATCACCATCCCGGCCCCTGATGCTAACAGCACGGAGTATGTCTTCATCGCCCCTTACTCGGACGATATCCAGCAGAGTGGCGCATACATCTACCGCAAGAATGGCGACCTGATCTGGTCTGGCATCGGGTACTATGCCGGGTTTGTCAGTAACTTTCATGTC